TTGCCATTATCACCGGATTGGAAAACATCATCATCATCTTTTTCGCCTTCTGCTGCTTCTTTTCGCCTTTGATCATTTTCAACTTCTCTGAAATTTCATCTAACTTTTGCAAAAATTATCGCACGCCACTCCTCCAACCTAATGCAGTCCTCAATGACATGTGACCAGAACCGTTCAAAGTACCGCAGGCTCATGGGCGTTGTCAAAATGTCATTAATTGTCATTAGAAAATGTCATTAGTGCCATTAGTGTTGTCATTAGTCATTGTCATTAGTCATTAAATTGTCATCAGTGCCTAAAATACGAAAATTTGGAAGTTGTTAAAGCAAAGTGCACCGTTAGTCCCGCATTTGAAAACGTTCGCACCTGTTCGTAGATATCCTTGGAGTCAACCACTGTCTTTTCGCCTACACCTTTCTCCAGCTCCTTCTCGTACCAATCCTGAAATATGAAAACTTAGAAAAATCGATATAAGGCTTATCCTTCCTTACCTGTAGCCTCTTTGGTTTGGGGACCTTTTGTTGAGGATGGCAATGGAAAATATAGTCATCACCTTCAGATGGTGGACAAGCCTGAATATGGGCCATAGTGTAACCAAGCCGCTTGACATAGCTAAAGAAAAACATTTTTCTTTGATGAAAACAATCCGCGATAGGCGACAAAATCACTTAGCAGTAGAACTCTGGTAAAATCAACCACTCACTCAAAATATCCAAGAATTATCTCGTGATAAACCTCTGTTCTGAGCTCCCTTGGTTGGAAGAAGTGTACCGAATCCAAATAAGCAATGTACACCCGTCTAAATGTAGATAATAGAAACATACAAATTTATAGACTGAAATGATAAATTTTGTACCTTGCATTGGGCTCCTTGCAATTACTACCGTACTCTTGGACGTGGAGACCAAAGAAGCACACTTCAACACCATCGATGATTTCAAAAGCGAACACAGCTTTCGTTCGGTATGGGAACTTATCAGGGAAACCTTGCGGACCATATCTGGAATAAATATATTTTTAAGCATAACTCAATGAGAAATCAAAAAATTCAATTACTCACTTCTGTTTCATCAGTGGCTTGACTTCTACTTCTTTGTCTTGCACACACAGCGTTCGAATGATAACTTCATACTGATTCGGATTGTTTTGGAGTGCACCTTTTAGGTAGTTGTTCACGCGAT